ATTTCCACTCCATCATCTACAAAATGAAAGCAGCTTTTGTGATGGCAGGGCTCTGCCTATACCATTACAGGAATCCCTGAGAGCAATTATCCTCAGAGCATTTACCACCTGGAATGTTGCACAAGTACTAGATACAAAATAAGTGTCAAGAATAACTTATGTTGAATTTAAAGAAACATCAGGCTAGAGATGCTTTAAGGAAGATGGCAAGTTGATGCAGCATGTCCTTGGGGAAGTGAGAAAGTTATTTGAAAAAAAAATATATAAGATTTCCTTAGGAAATTTATAATAAAAATAGACTTCAAAATCCAAACTATTATAGACTGTCTGTCTTGGCATCAAATCTGCCTTTGTTTATCAATGCCTAAATCAAGACTTTGGGAAGATAAAGTAGAAAAGAACAGATCCAAATAACATAGTGGAGTCTCACAATTATCTAAATTCTCTTGCTATGTGGATTTTAAATATGACTTGCAAGAACAATCTACCCCACGCATTCTTTCAATACATTATATTGAGTACTTTCTATATGCCCGACACCAAACTAGAAACTGTCTTGTTCACAAGACAGTTAATAATGGAACTTAATAATGTAATGAGTATCCAGTTACAATTTTAAGTGCCACAAAGAAGTATAATATGAAAGAGGGCTTATAACCTGAGTTAGTCTGGAAGGTTACAGGCTGCTTATGGATATCTTAAGACTGAGGAGGACTTATCTAAGGAAGGAAGGGGAGGAGGGTAGAGATAGATAGTGGTATAGATCTTTCTTAGTGTAGGATGAGAAATGTGTATAGGAAAACCTGAAAGGAGGCCTGGGTGAATGGGGAACAGGAAATAGGAGTTGCAGGAAATGAGATTGGTAGGGAAGATCAGGCTGCCCACAAGGTATCAAAATGGTGTTTTGTAAGTCTGGCTGAAATTCATGAACAGTGAACAGGGCAGTGAATCTCATTCCTTTGGTTAATGCAAACATGCTGGCTGGCTAATTATGTGAGCTCACTTTTAGGATGCGCCATCCTCCATTTCCTAGACCCAGATACAGAGTTCTTACTGTCTACTTGCGAATGTCCAAAACGTATCAACAATCTAATCCTAGTGAGAAAAACCAGCCTGGCTGGTCAGTTGAATCAGGCAGGCAGGAGCTGAAAATGACAAATCTGCACTGCCGCACACAGTAGAATCATCTGCTCTCCATCTTGAGGATTAAGCAATGGTAAAATATCACAGGCACTTATTGCCATGACCAGCCTCCCAGGGCCCAGTCTCAGAATGGTAAAACCAGAAGAGCAGGTACGTTTATGTCTAGCATTCAATAAAACAAACACTTCAACTGAAAGCCCAGGCTTCTCTCGGCCTCCGTCCCTTAGACTGGACTCAATCTTGCTAGGAAAACAATGTTCCAAAACATCCATTATTGCACTGGGAAGATCATCCATCCATAATTCAGACCATTATTTTTCCAGAACACTCAAATGCTCTCCTAATGAGCCCTCTTTCATAACCCAGTACGAAGGCCTCTTTTCACTGTTGCGCTGAGGACAGGAGTCTGGCTAAAAGGGAAGTACAATGTCAGCTGTCCCATGTGGGGAGGGCTGGCAGTACTGCTGACACAGTGGTGATTTGGGGGAGACTCACCCAGCCTTGAGGCTCCTCATAAACCCAGTCACTACTGGCACTCATAATTCCAGGTTCTTAACACCAGTGCTTGACTAAGGTTTCCTTTTTTATCGCTTTCTATTATTCCTTCATAAAACTTGTAGAAACTGGAAGTTAAGGATTCACTGGGGAATGTCCTTTGGCCTAGTTCAAATGGGCTACCTGCTCATGCTATACAGCTGGTTCCTGGCCTAGCCTTCTAAAATGAAAACACCACAGTGTACCATTCCCCCTACCTCTGCCAGTACTGCCCTAGTGTCAAACAGCCCATTGTTAAGACCGAAGATATTCAAATATAAAGGAAACATAGACATTCTCAAAAAGTATTTTGAGACCCCTTCAAAGTTTAAAAAAAAATAATTTCAGAAACTTCCACTTGCCCTGAATAATCTACTGGTTATGATCCTGACTCTCACATTCTATCTCTAAACCCCAGAAGTTTTGCCCAGGACATGCGACATAGCTGAGTGCCGGCTGTCACTTTGTGAAATTATGCAAACATAGGAGGGCAAAAGGAAGAAGTGGTTAAAACAGAAAAGTGGAGGTTGGCATCAGGGTTCTCAAATGCCACCCATTTACTAGCTGTTTGTCAGGTATGTTTCTCTTCTCGTCAGCTTAAAAAACAGAGCTGACGAGAAATAGGATGATCAATGCAAAAACGCAATGAAATGAACCCCCTCAAAAATGGTAACTGAAGGAACTGCTCAGGTTTTTTTTTTTTTTTTTTTGCTGTTGTCTTTTGCAGGGTGTGTCCTGTGCCCTGCACAGACAAAACAGGCAGGGTCCTGAAGCAAATACCCTATGTTCCCGTTTCCTGGAGTCATGACAAGTCTTATCTCTGACCAGGGAAGATCATTTACATTAGGGCATCAGAGAATATTTTGCCATGGGGGTATTTGTTTGTTTTTAAGACAAAGTGCTTTGAAATGAGACAAAGGAAAAACAAGTACCAGAACTGCCAAGTTAACATTTTTATTGAACTGAAATTGGTGAAGAACAACAGCCCATTTGAACAGCTGCCGAGCTCACAACTGAAAAGCCCCTGTGACATTTTAGACTTGAGAGGCCTGACATGGATGGAAACAGCTTAGAGATATAGGTATAATTCTTCTTTCAACACTCAAGATAGTTTGAAATGAGCCTTACAGCCTTGTCCAATTTACCAAGTTACATAGAACATTGTTAACCTTCTGTGGCCTTCATTTAGTAATGTCAGTTAATATCTTTCCCCAAAACATCCCTCTCAAAGTGCTGGCTCTATTTTGTTTCCCCATTCCCCTTTAGTACACATAGAAAGAATTTAGTAACACTTGGGCAAGTAATAAACTGTCAGAACTTTGCAAGTAGTAAAGGCATTTCATCAAGCATACTGACTTGACACACTGCAGGTGAACTGGCTACAGAATTCCAGTCAAGTTCCAGGAGCAAAGAATGCACTAATGGATAGGGTAAGGCACCCAGGCAGTGTCTGAACTGACGGCCTGTTTTTGTCTGAACTTCTCTACATTTTGCTTCCAACACGTAAATATGCATTTGATTTTATATAATAAGATGAAATACTTTAAGCTAAAAGAAAAATCCTATACAGGGTATAAGATCAATCAGAGAGGAATAAAATTAATACTGAAAATTTTTAAATCAATGCATGGAACAACACTAAAATCTGATCACACCAACAACTACTGAACACTTCTCACTACTTAAAAAATTTGCTGGGTGCCAGTGACTCATGCCTGTAATGTTGGCTCCTCAGAAAGCTGAGATCTAAGGATCATGGTTGGAAGCCAGCCCAGGCAGGAAAGTCCATCAGATTTTTATCTCCAATAAACTACTCAGAAAAAGCCAGAAATGGCATTGTGGCTCAAGTTGTAGAGTGCTAGCCTCGAGCAAAAAGAACTTAGGGAAAGCACCCAGGCCCCAGAACCAGGAAAAAAAAATAAAGCTAATCCCTCTAAAGTATTTCAAGGGAAATAACCAATGAGATAGAAAACACAATCTCCATATTAAAAAATGTACTTGAATATCCTTTCAGCTGGGTTGAAGTTAGCTTCTCATTCAATAGGAAGTTTATAGGCATTGATACAAAAAAATCTTCCAGAGTGCAAATTGTTTCGGATGAAATGTGGTGAAAAAAGCAGTAAGACAATTCATCCCTTAACTGTGACAATGCTGCTTTACATTTACTGTAAAAATGAGAAAATCTTCCACAGGAGTGACTAAGTGGCCATGCCTTCCTGCAGAAATCATTTGGAAGAATCTAAAAATCTTGCAAGGGGGGGATGGAAAAATAATTATAAATATTTTAACAGGGCCGTAACTCTTCTTCAAAAAGGGCTGCAACCTTTGATAGACAAGGACCTCCAATGTAATACAATGACATCCAAATTAAGGATTTTTCAGGTATGTGGGTCAAGTTTATAGAATTCTGGATTTCCATAAAGCATCTCCAGTTTCCATATTACTTGACCTGTAAACCAGAAGATATGCTGTATAATGGTGGGCAGGGGCTCCAAGGGGGAGTGATTAACTGTAAACAGGTTCTGAATTAAGAGCTGGCAGTGAAACAAGAGAGGATTTGCCCTCAGATCATAAAGAAGGGAAGAATGAATTGTACCTGCTGACAGGGATGGGTTTAAAAAGAAAAGGCAGAGTTCATTGACCTTCATTTCAAGATTTTAAAATTAAGAAGCTTAAAAGTTTAGACTACATCCAAGCCAATAGTTCTCACACTTTAGCTTGCAAAAGTCACCTACAGGAGGAAATGTGTGAAAGTGCATGTACCTGAGCCCTACCCAGAGATTCTAATTCTAGTAATGGGAGTGGTCCAAGAACCTTGCTTTTGAGAAATATTGCTCATAGCAAATAGCAGCACACAATCTTTGATTTAAAAGGCCAAGACTCCAAGAAGTAACACCAATGAGATCATTACCTATAGCAAACCCGTCAGGACACTCTACCATAATATGAGGACCAAATTTATCTCCCAATAGGCTTATACTTTTCTTTCTTTTTAGAAGTTTGAAATAAATTAATCTTTAATGATTGTACCAATTTTGAGGTAAAAGAAAGAGCACCAGGGATCTCAAGACTAAAAGAAATAGAATTCCCTAGGAGGTCCATGCTACATAGAAATAAAATATACAGTAATATTTTAGAGCTATAGTGTAAAAGTGTCACTTCAGTTCTTGCATAATGTGTATACTTTTGTATACTTGTAACATATTTTTAATCTCTCCAGTTAAAATTTTAGAAAGACTCTAAAGAGAAAAGTTAATCTACATATTCTGTCATGTTTTCTAGATATCAACATTTTCTGGTTGACAGTGATACGCAACAAGTTATTTATTTTCTTGGATGCTGGAGACAAACATCTTTATTAAAGATACTACCAAAATTTTGGCAAACATTTCAAAACAGATTTGTAAACATAATGCTTCCCTTTTCAACTGGCAGCACTTGAAAAGACAATACGATAAGACAACACAACTTGAATCAACATTAGTTCAAAATCCTTATATTTTTGACCACATAACTTATGTTCCCACATGATAAAACAAGTGATAGTTTAAATCAACGTCAACAGATAAACTCCATGAAATGAAAGTTTGTGCTGTTTGATGAATCACAGTATGTTATGGTTAAATATATCTGCACTTTCTTATATTCCTGGCATCCAGGATGAAAAAAAAATCTTTAAATATACATTTCATGTAGGTAATAGCTTCTTTGCATATCTCTCTCTTCAAAAATACTTTATAGCAGTATATAAATAGGTTACCTACACATTTAATTTTATAATTTTGCCCCAAAACTATAGATCTGTTTAATTTTTATATCATATCAATTTCTGCCCAACATTAATAAAGCTGACAAACTGTTGAAATGGAAATGCTTTTGTCTTCCAAAATAGAAGAAAGTAGCAATTTGACAGGAAAAAACAAAACAAAACAACAACAAAACCCTACAGTAACACTCGTCAGTTGTTTAACCTGAGCGTTGGGCCTACTGAGAGTAGCAGCTTTTCTCCTTCATGCACGCTCACATCCACATCAGCTCTGCACACATACAGGTTGAGCACACGTTTCAGACGCTGGTAGGCCACAGTGTGCTTCCCAGTGCTCTCATCATTGGGAAGCAGTGTAGCTAATGACTAACCACACTATGTACACAACTAGCAAACACCTTAAGGCAACCATTGCAATGGGGGGTTAACTTGCAGGGCAGATTTAATATTCTAGATCAAGTTGGCCAATAGATATATATGTGTATAAAAATCTACACACATACTCCCACAACTTCCTATTTTTTTAACCCTCCAAAACAATGTTTTATTTATTTTTTTGTATTTTTGTGCAAATGTCTAAATGTTCTACCATTTAAGGCAAAGAGTTTGCATTAAGAAAGGTCAGAAAATAGGCTTATGTTTATCCAAAAGCATTTCACCTTGCACATCACTGTGGTTGTTTAATACACACAACTTTGAAGTGTGGACATTAGATCCCCAATATCTAAAAAAAAAAAAAATCATTCCTAAAGACAAACACAAGCTCTCAAGAAAAAGAAAAATGATTTGCAGTATAGACACTGGATCCCCAATATCTAAAAAAATGAAAGAAAAAAAAAGAAAGAAAAGTTTCTATTAACAAACACAAGTCTTGAGAAGAGGGAAAGAGAAGATTAGGAGAAAGCAGCTTCAAAATGGAGAGAAGCAAAGTAAAATAGGAAAAAAAAAAGTAACTCAAGTTTACTAATACTGAAACTTTCAACAGGCAAAGTTTCATCTTTTAGAATCTAGAGCAACTCATTTGGAATTTTAAATAAATAAGATTAAGTTTATTCACATCTTCTGTTCAAGCAGAGATCTAGGGCCATGACTCTGCTTGCTGTTGGTCAAATTCACCTATTAGTCTTTTGATGTGAGCCAGCTTGTTATGGAGATACTCGCATCTGTATTTTTCTTCATGGTAATTGGGACTAGACTGCAGATGAAGAAAACAGTGAGGTATTAGGTGGCAGAATTGATTACATTTATCAACTACAGGTCAGGAAACCAATAATGATGATACCTACCTGCTTGATCTTCTGATATTCCTGTAAGACTTCTTCATGAACATGCTACAAAAATTAAAAATGAGAAATCAGAAGAGAATGAATTATTTTGGGCATTGCAATAATTAGCATGCATTTGGTAAAGTGTAGGGATATTGATAGTGAAAATATAACCTGGAAAAATTTTTCTTGGGGCCTCATTCTTGCTAGGCAGGTGCTCTACCACACAAGCCATATCTAATCCCTTTTTGCCCTAGCTATTTTTCAGATAAGGCCTCCACTGTTGCTACCCCCGCAGGGACTAGCCTTGGACCATGATCCTTCTGATCTCTGCTTCCCAAATAGCTTGGATTATAGCTGTGCACCATCATATCTAGGATTAGCCTTGGACCATGATCCTTCTGATCTCTGCTTCCCAAATAGCTTGGATTATAGCTGTGCACCATCATATCTGGCCTACAATCTTTATGAAGGGCAATTTGGCAATAACTATCAAAATAGCAAATGTAAAATTGACTCAGCAATTTAATTATACTTCAGCTCTACTTGTCCTTGAGTAAAATGATGAAAGTATGTTATTCACTGCAGCAAAAGGTGGCCAAAAGTTGCAATTTACACAATGGATAGTAAGAGGACACTGAGAAGTGTGGATGTGCTTTATGTACTGATACAAAATAAATTCTTTAATACTTTACATTGTTCGGTTAAGAGTAATATGGGCAGTTAGCTACCATTTATTTCAAACAGAGAAATTACTATATTCTAAAAAATGTCATTACTTTTTTAAGATGTGCATTTCTTCTAATTCTAATGAAACCAGGATAAGAAATAAAATATCATGGTTTAAGTTACTGGGATAGAACACAATGATGCCACTTATAATTAAATGAAACTTAGATTTAATTAAACACAATACATACACACACAAATGTACACACACACACACAAAATGTATGTTTTTGAAAGAATACAACAGAAGCTACTGGTAGTGATTACCCATAGGGTAGCTGGGGAAAAATAGCTGCTTAGCCTCCATGTTCAAGGTACTAGGCATGGATTCCCAATGCTTAATGTCATTTATAAATGCTTAATGCAATTCTATGATCATCCCATTTTGTGGATGGGGAACTTGAGGCAAAGAAGAATTTGCAAACTTACCCAAAGGCAATATACAGAAATATGACATAGCTGAGGCCCCAGCTTCAGAGCCACTAATCAATCCTTAGAATTATAATATTATATTATAATATATTTAAATAAGTTTAAAATTATTATAATAAATTTAAATAAGTTTATAATAATTTTAAACTTATTTAAAATTATTATAAACTTATTTAAATTTATTATAATAAATATCATGTAAATGGATAAATAACTGCACAGAAAAACATAAATTGTAAATCACCACTCCAACACCTTCTATACCCTAAATATCAATTCATCTGGCAAAGTCTTTAGCTCTCTTTGTTTACTGAAAAGATTAAAGCCCATGGGTGCAAGCCACAGGTATGTGTGAGAGACACACATGCTCTTGGTCTGTTTCTCCTCCTGTGGGGAAATAGTAAGGTAAGAACCATGGTAGGGGTTGGGGGAAAAGCACTATACCATTTATGGCTGTGAAGTGAGACCAAGTTCTTGGCCTATGTAATGATAAAATATTCATTTCTATCAATTCTTTTGCTAAGAACTATCAAAAAAAACCCCACAAAAGACAGATCAAGAGCTACTGTTCTTTGTCAGCTGCAGCCCTATTACCAGCTAGGGTGGGAAAGAAAATCAGATTAGTACATAATGTACTGTGTCTATGATGGCCCTAATTCTATGACTATAATCTAACTCAGAGTTATAAAAGTAATAATTAAAAGACTATCTTGAAATAACACCATTGTGTGTGTGTGTGTGTGTGTGTGTGTGTGTGTAGGGGCTGACTGTATTCTGAGCTGAGTTGGCTGTATAATCAAATGAAGCATAAATGAATCCCAAGATCCAATTTTTCCCCCTATTTAGTAATATTTGATAATTCTCAATACCTGATATCTTACAGTGGTGCAAAGCTTTTATTTTTTTTAGAACTATTTCAACAATTCAGTTCCAAAAGCAGCAGAGGTTTAGTTTAGAGAGCTTGTTTTAAATTTTAGTAAAGGAAGGCTGAAGTTAGTGTGACAGGGAAAGAAAGAAGGTAAAATATGAAAGTGAGTCTGATCAGGAACAAATCAAATCCATTTACCTGATACTCTTTTGAGCCTGGAGAAAGGCGTTTTCGTTGCGCATCCAGTTTGATAAACCTTCTGGCCACAGTCTCCATCCTGGCATGTAAAGCCCTGTATTCATCGTACTCTGCATTGAAGTCATCCTTGTAATTCTGGCGTTGCTCATAGGAGACAATAGCAATATATTTTCTAATAAGAAAAAAAAATACCACAAAGAGTAGTTACTGACAAAACACAATGACCCGAGTCTGAGATTGAAACGAAATATTAGAAATGGTATCTTTTCATGAATCATATCTATCACTAGTAGTTAATGCTGTTCCACTACTAGTTTGTTCCTAGGTCATTCTTTCACTGGTCCTTCCATGTGAAGTGACTCTACAGGTCTTAAGAGCTTTTACGAAGGGGAATCAAATGTGAAAAACAGATGGTAGCAATGAAATTAAAATGTATCTAAGTAAAAAAACAGTGTCAACACACATTTGGCTTCCTAAACTGGAAAACTATATAAAATACAAAAAAGGGATTTTTAAAAAATTTTTAAAAGTGAGAGACAAAAGGAAAATATTATTTCTCTAGGTCTTTTGAAGCAACACATTATACTCTGCAGTTTTGAACTATTAGTCTAATTTTCTTTCTTTAAAAAATATTTTCTTTAGGTAGTTGTACAAAGGAGTTGTCATTTAATAGAATATATATTTATGAATACAGTGATTTGATCAATGTTACCCCTTTCAACATTCTCACCCATCCCTTTACCCTACTCCTTCCCTTACTTTTCTTAATTTTTAGGTTATTTATTGAAATTTGTTTTTGCTGTTTAACAAAGCAATTTATGTATCCAATGCATCTTGATCTGTGTTTTTCCTCTGACATCTTCAACCCCCTTCCACCCACCCTTTCCTTTATTTTTCTCAGGCCTATGGCATATACAGTGCATTCTTGTGTACATGCTACTAATGTCTCCATTCATTCTTCTTCCACTCTCTTTGTGACCCCCCCCCCCCACTTGCAAGTATCTACTTCCTAGTACTCAAAATTTGCTTTCTTAATAAAATTCAAGAATTCTGTTTATTCATTTGGAATGTGAGTACTCCTTGAGATCTGGAAAGTAAAAGGTATACTCCCAGATGACAGTTTATCTAGTGATAAGTAAATTACATCAGTATTTAAATATTAAAACAAACACTATTATTTGTTCATAGATCTGGGAACTGGAACCACAAGAGCCTAGCTCATTGCTCTTAGTACTTCTGAAATGCAAAATCCCCTTGACTAATTGAGATGAAATCTGAGATTTCAGGCAGGTAGTGGGAGCTTGAGGATGTATTCTGAAGGTACACATTTATTCATCACTGTGGTAACATCTTGGAATTCAGTATCTCCAAATGGCTTTATATAATCTCACCAGCTTTATTTAAATTGCTGTATCACAGATGCCTAGTTGGAAATGTGAGAAAAGTGATGCAGTGAGCAAACTTGGTGTCCTCATTAATATTTTTATTCGTGCTGAGTTAGACAGTACGGAGGTTTAATTTTTGATGTGTAATTGAGACCGCAGTAGCGTGCTGATTTAGAGCTGCCCTGCTGGTGTCTCAGCTGCACAAAGAACACAGGCAGCAGAGCATGGAAGCAGTCCTCCCCAGACATGGCTTCCTGACTGCACACCAGAGGTAGCCCCGAGGGAGCAAGAGCTTCCTGGGGATAAGCACATCGAAGCAAAATAACTAACCCAACATGGAAATTCTGTTTTACTTTGCTGTATAATAAATGTATCCCGCTTATCCAAAGGCATATTCTTTTGTGTTTTATATAATATTTTTCTCAAGAGAAAGCTCAAAACTGGCCACAAATGTGTTTGGTTATCCTGGGATTTAAACCATTTTTTTCCATTATTATTTTTAACAGAATTTGCTATGGTTTTACAGCTGGCTCTTAGTGCAGTGACAGAACAAAACTTTTTAACTTTGGATAACTCAAAACCACAAGCAATGAAAGTATTCTTATTATATAAAATTAGCAATACCATGGTTAAGAATGAATTATTCAAAAGCAGATCATTTAGGGGTTATAGTACCTCTTTTTGGTTTTCTTATAAGCCAAATTCTGTGTTTTGGGTAATTTTCTCATTATTTATAAACCTTACTTTTGGTAAGGCATATTGCTTTTACTTAAATGAATTAAGTACTCAATTGCAGCCCTAGAAACATAACATACAAAACTGTACCAGAACAGATGCGGCAATCATTCTTAGACCAGTAACCTAAAAAAAAAAGCCTTTTAAATATAGAATTAGCTAATTAGGCTGCCAAAACACAGCAACAGCCTTGAATCTATAGGGGGAAAGCTTAGAGTATTTTCTTTTTAGTCTCCCCACACAACTTTTATCACACATAACCACTTTTAATAAGAGGAAATCAAGACCTGCCTCCTGGTGGGTGTTAATGTGATGGGCTGACTTGGAGAACTGGCTCTATAGCTGGAAAGGTAAAGCCAGGGGCTAACTTGGAAATGTGGCTGCAGACCTATACCCCTTTCTGGGAACTGAGAGGTAGCTGATTTCCAAGGCTCGTCTGTTAAACTAAGCTCAGCTGGCAGAGTACTTAGCATGGTTTCACAAACCCATTATTTAAGATGATAACCAACATTATACTTTCATACAGTCTTATTCCTGGTAACTATAGTATTCTTTATATTAACCAGAGGCAAAATATTTTAAATCTAAAATGTCCTGCCTTGGAACCAGGATACAAGGACACATACACCTCCATGTTCACTGCAGCCCTGTTCACAATAGCCAAGATATGGAAACAACCCAGATGCCCCATTACAGATGAATGGACCCAAAAATTGTGGTACCTTTATACAATAGAATATTATTCAGCCATTAGAAAGGACAAAATGATGGCATTCACAAGGAAATGGATGGAACTAGAACAAATCGTGTTGCGCGAGGTAAGCCAGGATCAGAGAAACAAACAGCACATTGTCTCCCTGATATGTGGATGTTAAATTCAAAATGCAAGGAGATATGACAAAGTAAACAGGACTCAAGAAACAAAGGACCTCTACATAATTTTCATGTTATTTCTAAATGACTCCATGTTCTTGACCTTATATGTGGTATATACACGTGCACATCAGAGGGAAGTTAGGAGGGAGGCATAGAATCAGAGGGAAATGGGAAAATATACAACAGAGGGGCCCATCAGGTGCACTAGACATTGATGAAAACAAACTAAGCAACTCAAGGGCAGCGATAGGAGGGAGGGAATGAGAGGGAAAGAGGCTACAGCTTACACTAAGCAAAAGGAAAGAGAAGTACATAACACCTGATTTGGAAGAACTCATAGAATTCACAAACTTTATAGACCATGATAATGACAATTTGCCTTGTGAAGGTTAAAATGTGTTTGTACTTTAACTATGTATCATTATCCCATAATACTGTGAAATTTGTGAAATTTATGTAATCACTTGATCTCAATAAAAATAAAAAAAAAAAAATGTCCTGTCTTCGGGGAAATAAATGGCTAAGTAAGATAGTTTATTAGATGCCATTTATAAAAAAGTTCACACAGCATACATCCTATTTTTTGTTTTACTTGTTAGGTATTTTGTTCATTTTAGTATGTATCTGCTGTCAGATCTGTTTGTGCCTTCACTCTCCATTTAACAAGCTCTTGAAACAATTATTTTCTCCTTCTAGAAGCCTTTTATTCTGCAAAATTATAATGCCTATATAACCAGTTACAAAAACATGCCCAGAATATGTCTGCAAGCCAGCATTTGGCAACTTGTTGTCGTAAGAAGGAAAGCATTATAATTTCTATTCAAGTCAAAGGATTAAATTGTATTATTTGTTCCCTTTAAAATTAATTTGAGGGCAGGCGTTTATTTAAATAAAAACCAACCTATCTCCACTTTTTAGTATGCAGTGCAGAGGTCCAAGCAGTTTGTCGGTAATAAACCATCCTTTGGGGGCCCAAAGGAATGGCCATGTATTGATAGGCTGTCAGCTTTGAAGAGGCAGATCCCTGAAATCTTCCATAATCAAATGCTTGGCCTTGCTGGGGAACAAAGGACAGGCTTCTCTATACTTCCAGGCCAAGGAACATAGCTCAGGGTAGGGGGAGGAACAACCTGCTCATGAAGACAAGGGTGGATTTGGGACAGCAGGCTTAATGGCAGCTTTTCAATTGCATGGGTCGCTCCAGGACTCTATTTCTGGAATTCCTTACTTTTTTGATTTGCAAATTATGGGAAAAGAATTTGCAAACTTTCTAAAATTAAACAGCTCTCTCCACTGGCAGACAGATGAACTTACATCAAATAATCTGGGAGTTCAATTGTAGAAGAAGGCTCCATGGAGGCAGTGCAGTCCTCTTTAACTCCTATAAAGAAAAAAAAAAAAATCAGAGCATTCATCAGCCAGTACGGTTATCAAATGCCTGTAATTCTAAAAAAAAAAAGATTAGAAACATCTGGAGCACTTTTCCTCAAATTCTATTCTTCCATCTCAATAAGCGACAGTGAGTAAGGAATACAATTGAACACAAACAATAGAGGCCCTATGACCAGCGCCAGAAGAACTGACGCCAGGCATTTAAAGCACCCTGGCTACTGCAGTGTCTGCACAATAAAGGAATTCCATCTTAACCCAAGGTCAATCTTCTATTCTTTCAACAACAGTTGTGGCATCTGCCCAGCAATTCAAAGATTGTGGTGGCAGATGCAGCTAGACAATAAGAGATACAAATTTTACATCAACATCTACTTTTCATGGGATTCAAACAAGGCAGATGAAACAATAAAGGCAGGTAGCAGACTGCTTTGGTCACTGTATTTTTATTGCCATCTTTTTTTTTTTTTTTTGCATGCAGACAGTGGAACTGGTAGGAGTTTCATGCAGACAGTGGAACTGGTAGGAAGTTTTCCCATTGGTTTAAAATAAAAGTATTATTTAATGGTGATACTGGACCTCATAATACTCAACAGATTTTTTTTTTAAATAAAGTTTCTAATTTCTCATGATTATCTTGTTGAAGTATGTAAACTCTCAGTATTCTATTTAAGTTTCCCATTCTCAGTGGCCTTTTATTAGTATATGTATATTTAATTTCTTAAAGGACAGTAGGTAATGCAGGCTTTGATTTATCTGACTTTGATTTATTCGCTATAAAATAAATGGTGTCCATCTAACAATTTCTCAGTGTAATATTTTAAAAGCTAAAGCATATTGAATAAATTACATAGACTTGGGCTTACTGTTTACCTACATATATTTGATTCAGGCTTAGGCAAAAGAGCATGCTTTCACAACAACCCAGACCTTCAAGGAAATGAATCAAGTACGAGACACTTCCTCCTTGCCACAGGGGCCAGAGATGTTCCAACAGAGGGAGGATTCGGGTCTGGATCTGTCCTGGGTTTTTGATGAGCCTACTCCAATTTTTTTTTTTCCTGTGATCTTCAGGGAAGGATTCTAAAAACTAGCCCTGTTTCTCCAGGTCTCCAACTGAGAACACTCATAACTTTGCTGTAGGTCTCACCATACTGGAATTCAGACCTGTTGGCACTAGGTTTCAACTCAGGATTATCCTCCTAATGTGGGAAGTGTGGAAGAGAACAGAGGATGCCCAGGAACCTGGCTAATTTACTTCTTTATGGCTTTTCCTGACCTGACAGATTCAGGTACAAAAAGTGTTAAAGAGAAATAAAGCTTAAAATGGGCATTCGTTATATGTTTTGATGCAATAAACCGAATCTAGATAGACGCTGTCTTGTGCTATTCTACAACTTCTTTGCAAGCACCACTAAAATCAATCAGTGCTTGTTTCATATGACAAAAATGATTAGTTAAAGCTAAGAATTAGTTAAAGCTGAGAAAAACAGAGAACAATGATTGATGTTAATTTACTATCGGTGTTCACTAAAACAGAACCTCCAAATCGAAGAACAAAACAAAAAAAGCCTTGGAGATTGTTGATAGCCAACAACCTTGCTTTCACTGCAAATTAAGATGTTTGGGATCTGTGAATGAAGTATCACATTGCCTATTTTATAAAGAATTTGGCATTCCCCCTGTGCTAATGATAAGTACAACATGGGGTACCCTGATTTCTTTGAGAAAGAAGAAAATGACGATTTCTATTGCTACTTGAGTGGTCAAAGTCAGTTCCAAAATATTTAACAGTAAGGCTGAGATTGCACAATACCATAGTATGTAAGAAAAAGAATAAAGTCTCCCTTCTTAAAATGTCATTTTCAAATGTCATTATATTATTAATACAGAAATCATGTTGATAGTTGCTTATAAAGAAATTGTAAGATAAAAGAAAAAAACAGCTCAAGGTAAATAATTAAACAAGCATTTGCTTATCAAGTTATTGCTAATTAATGGTATCATCATCTCCAACTCATGCTAGGATGATCTTCCAGTTTACATAACACATACAGTCAGATCTCCCCCAACCTCTACCTCTGTCTTAGCAAATGTAAAATACCTTCACTGGAATTTGGGCTGGAGTTATTTAGCTTGGCAATTGCTTCTCTTTGAAGATCTTCCTCTTTTTCTTCAATAGCTTCAATGTCGTGCTTTTTCATTTGGTCCTTTTCCTTGTGTTTTTTAGACTTCTTTTTGGACTTTTTATGAGACATTGAATGGTTTTCTTCCATAGGCTTTGGACACTTTAGTAGAACTGAACCGGGGGGTAATGTTTCCAGAGAAGTCCTCGAGGTATATTTGTCTTGCTGGTCCTCATAGATGCTACCATCTTGACTAAAACTGTCAACAGGTAGGTCTTGAGTCCCCCCGCCTTCTGGAGTGCTAGGGGAATTGGAGTTGGAATTTACAGTCTGAGGGGGATTTGAGACAGGCAGGTGCGTAGAAGGCAGTGGTGGGGGCGTGGGGATGGCAGCAGCTGCAGGGGGCGGCGGTAGTCCTGCAGCAGATTTGTCACTGGTGGAATTCAATTGACCATTTAATGTTGGAGGTACTCTATTTGTTAGGTGAGATATTCGAGCTTTTTTATTCATTAAAGGATCAATGAAATCTGAATCCAAAGGCCGTTTCTGAATGAGAAGGAAAGGGAAAAAACAAGCAGGTTTGCACTATAATACATTCAAAACCTCTGTAATTGATCAAACAGTTGAGTATCTTACTCTCTTCCAACTCAAGCAAAAGCAAAACAATAATAAAGTCCTATTAACAAGCCCAAACTAAACTAAAGCAACAAATCCAAATGACAAGTAAAATAAATTGTAATGTAATATTAAAAGCAGAACTTGGCAGATACATTATTTTTTGGAGTTGTTACTCAAGTTCTTTCTGATCTGATAGCCTTATCCATAAGATTGTGCTGATTATTAGACCATGCTGATTTATTTGGATTAGACTGCTCAGAAGAGTATTAAATAGAAGCAACTGCTTTCCACTGCTGGTGATGACTAGTCTACTTAAATGAGAAGCGAGAGCATTTTGTGCCATTTGACTCTGCACTATGAAAGCTAGGTAAAGGCCATATGTCTATATCTATTGAATCTCTATTGCTAAAATGCTCCGGTTATAAATAGTTTGGTTGTCAATCACCATTCCCTCTATCTTAGAGTAGCCAGTACTTTCAGAGTAATTCCTCTAAGTCTCTTTCTGTCATTGCTGAAATGCTATTTAATTTTTTACCCTTCCAAACCTATTCACAGTAGTAGTATAAGCTAAGCCTTTTCATTAAAAGTACTTTTAAAGAAAGCATGCTACAGTAGCTTAATCTCAAAGCAACAATAGTTATAACAATAGTTACATGTTAAGAAGAAAATTCAACAGTCAAAAGGTATGAAACGTAAGTGCATTTTTGTATTTAAATATAATATTGGAACTTGAAATTTTGCTCAAAAAATGAACAGCTAGTAAGTGCATTATTTTCTTCTGTTATAAACTGAGTGTAACTGACTTGGTACTCAGCGTATGTCATCTGATCAGAAGTAGCTTCACTATAGTTGGTGAACAAAAAGTGAGGCTTCCACAGATAAGGAACATTGCAAGGGTGAATTGCCTTGTGTGATAGTCTTCTGCTCAGCACATTCTCTCCAGAGGTACAGGGCATATGGTACAGTGCTGGGAGGGTGGGGAAGTCTCTCGCAAATGTCTGATCCAAGTGCCCAGGATATTAAAACTCTCACTGAGAATTCTCTTACTCTCTCAGGGAGAGAATTTCAGGGCTCCTTGGCAAGTTCAGTAAACTGGAACTCTTTATACTGCCAAGGACCTCTTCTACCTTCTCTAGGATGGGCCAAACTAGAAAATTCTAAGCAGGAATAATGTCTGATGGGGAGTATTTCCATTAGGATCAAGTTGAAAAGAGCTTAAGTAAGACACATACATAAATGTTCTCTTTTCTTGTTTATTTTCTAATTGCTAATACATTTTCCCTAAGAATATTCTTCTAGAACATGTTTTAGACACAATCAAATATCTTTAAGTTCCCATGTAATACAAGAATTGTATAGGACTAGATAAGCCTTATAATAAGTGATCAAATTAAAAAGCAGATAACTTTACAACAAAATGTAAATTTTAAAAATGGAAAGCAAGGTGTGTATTAAATATTCTGACAAGCAGAGCTGCACAGGGGAGACAGTTCTAGACTGGAAGCTGAGACTGACATCGTGTGGCTTTGTGTAGATAAACTGTGCAGCTTTCTTGGGCCTCATTTCCCTCACTTAGAAAGAAGAGGACCTCAGTTGTTGGCCTCCATGTTAGGTTTTGTAAGTTGATGACATACCTGCGGAGAGGATGCAGTGTCTCTGCTAGAACATACAGGAGATTCTGAACGGCTGGTGCCAGCAGCATTCTGAGAGGCATTCAGTTTTCTGCCAAGAACACACATGTTCCATGTAATAATGAGAACTTTAAAATGTTTACAATAGAAAGCGTACTCTTGATTCTCTTTCCCACCTCAATATCAAAATAAGAATGACTAAAATGATTACTTATTTCTACCATTTTTAAAGAAAAAAAGGGAAAAAGAACCTACCTAGAGAGTACTGACTCCAATGACCGTCTGTCTGCTTCATTGTATCCTGGCCAGTCTCTTTGAAGCTCCTTATATACATAATCCTTTAATGTATAGGAGAGGTCCTTAGGATTTAGATTGGCTACCTGGTATGTGATATAAACAGAGCATTAGATATTTGTGCTAACTATCCAAAGCAGTTGATCTTTAGGATATATACCAAAGACAATTACTCTCATTGGCTCCAAAGGGACTATTCATTAAATGTATGCCAGATTGCAGTAAGTGTCATTTAATTTCATTTCTGGTAGTTAAAAGCACCCAGAATTAAAACTTTATGTGTGGAGTGAAATGTTTTCCTCCATTTGCCAAACTTCTAATTAAATAACTAGGTAAATTTTCAAATCAATCTTGTCTTCTATAAGAAATTTATATTAACAAAATCATTATTTATTTACTTATTAACTTGAGTAATTCTGAATCACAAATAAATACTTAGTCTCATATTAAGTAGAAAACAATATTCAAATAGTAGGTTACAAACTCTCTTTTTCAGTCCTCCACAGAAACTGTCTTTAAAATAGTATAAATTTTGATAACCTCATCTTTTTTTTTTTGATAGGTAAGCTTGCTCTGTGTATTTACCAGATCTCCTGAAGTACCATTTTATCCAAAGTCCTTGAAATTCCTTTAAACCAATAAACAGAATCATAAACTGAAGGAATGCCCAAATAATCATTATTGGCTACACAGTTCATTCCTAAGTACACTCATCCTATTCCTTAACTGCAATTCCTAGTGTTCAGACCTATAATCCATTAAGTACACAAATCTATGGATTTAGGTGCCAAACCAAAAGTAACTTTTCAGGTTAGAGAAAAGTACTCTGGAAATGGTCTTTTATGCTAATCTTATTGTTAGTTATACAAAAGAAAATAGGTTTATTTTAAAATTCAAATTTACAAATAAATGAATATGTGATCTGACAGGTTTGAGTAAGAATAAATAACAACCTTTTGTTTTTTTATTATTCCTGGCAGTACATATACAAATACCACTCCTACAGCAATTCAGTCTCTTAAGTTTTGGTACTATCTTTTCCCTTGGCACCTTTCTTTCTTGTTTACTTTCTCAAAGCTCTACATGGGGGGGGGGGGGGGGGGGAATGCTTAGTCTGCTTTCTGCCCTGTTTTCTTCATTCTCTTTATTTCTTCCTAAAATAATTGTATTCAACACTAAGACATATAAGGCCTAATCTTGATGATACTAATTCCTAAATTTATGGCTTCATCCTAAATTGTCCTCTGAACACCAGGCCCTTATGATCTATAACTATTTATTATATATTACTATTTGTTATTATTTATTATCTATCACTAGTTATCTCCATTTGCAGGTCTAATGGACATCTTTCAATTTACGTAGGGAAGAATTCCTGAGTGCAACTACATCAGCCTCATTTCTGCCCCTTTTCCGTCTTTTTCCATTTCAGTCCATAGCTCATCATCCATTCAGTTTCTGGGACCAAAATTGCAGTCATAATCATAGGTTCCATTTTTCTCTCACTGTCTCCCTATATGCACTTCATTATCAAATCTTGTCACAAAATGTATCTTTAACATGATAAACCATCCAACCCACCAACATTTCACACACTCAGATTTCTATAGTACGCTCAGTTAAATTCTCTCTCTCTTGTTCTTTTCTTGCTCCCCTAAGCCATCCTTGCACAACCTGAGTGTTCTCACTTTAAGTACTAATCAGATTATAGCACATTCTTGTTTAGAATTCTCATTTTTTTTGCAGGCTCAGTCATCATAAAATCAAAAGTCTTTGCCCCTGGGTTGAAGCAGTTCTGTGGGTTTTGGCCTCTGCCAACTCCTTTCTTCCTTTAGTTTGAGCATACTAAGCCTTCTCCTTCACCACACTTCCAGAGGTGCTAACTCATTTTCTTGGTTCTTGCTCTACATTTTCAGCTAATATGTAAGCCTTTAAGAAAGATGTTCCCTGACCTTATCACTCCCTAGAAGCAGCAGGCCTCTCCCAACTCCAGGAGGGCAGGATTGGCCTGTGGGGGTCACTTCGAGATTCCAATATGTAGAACAGTATATCTAGTACATTTTAGACAGTCATTTTTCAGTGTTTACATCTTCAGTATCCACATCCATATTTGATATGCAGGACCCCATAGATATCCAAATACTAAGGTATGTCAACTATAGTACATAAAAACTCAGATTTAATGCGTCCTCCCACACACTATAAATTCTATCTAGATTACTTATAAAATGTAACATAATTTAACTTATTTAACATGTAAATCCTATGTATGTAGTTGTTGTATTGTTTAGAGAATAATGGTGAGGAATGTTTACTGAACATTTAATTAAAAAATATTTCTGACCTGGAGTTGGTTGAATCTGTAGCTGCATAACCATTGGTAGATACTACCAACTTCACTTAATAAATTCAATGAAGTGATCTCAATAACCAAATGTTAAGGTTAAGAAGAAAATTACCTTTATCTTGGTTTTCTGATTTCTAAAAATTTTTTTCAGATAAACAATCAATGTAAGAAAAACCAAGCCTTATAAATTGTACCAATTTAGCAATAAACAGTATTAAGTAAAATTTCCTGGTAGATATGAAAGATTTTAAAATTTATGTACAATCTTTCAAGTTTTACTGGGAAATATTCCAGTTTACCTTAACAATCTATTACTTTGATAAAGGAATTCACAGGGTGCATTCATTCACAGGGTGCTGAAGACTTGTACATAAGAAACACATAAATAACTTTATTGATATAGGCAAAGCAGGATCAATCTTTTTAGCTAATTTGCCTGGCAACTAGTTTGTTTAGGACAAAAATAACCATGTTTGGACTGTTTATGTATTTTGCTTTTTTTCTCTTCACTTTTCTATTTCTACTTCTGGTCAGTTTCAATGGAACACAAGTGGTTTTATGTTAGGAATGTTCAGGGCAAGGAATGTGTAGAGAAGCTAGTTTAATTCAAAGTCCTCTAGATATGCCTCTGCTCTTCTTTTTGAGGATTAAACAAGATCATGACTAGTGTGGTGCCTGACACAGTACATGCCTACACAGTGGTAGATATTATTAGCCTCTCATCTCTGTTTCACTGAGCCCGTAGTTTTCTGCCCATATCACACGTTTGGAATTATTCAATGGTTGTAAACACACGCACATGTTCACACACATATGCACAATTACCAAATTTCTGACACGAATCAGTAGTAGTTTCTAAGAGAACTGCTTCTGGTGTCATTTTATCTTCTCCAGCCTCTTCCCAGAAGGTAATTAAAAACCTTCTAGAGATACAGTTATCAAAGAATCCCATTTCCCCAATAAGACTTAAGATACATATTTGTACACTCATCTTCATTTTTTTCTTTTCATACTTTCTTCTGAGCTCCTAAAAATGCTATGTGACATATGGATTTAAGTTATTCCAAAAGATGTTCAGTGGGTTTAATAAAAAACTCTGAGATTGACAGAGGTATCTAGGGACTGACTACTCCTGAACTGTGGACCAGCAATGGTTTCACTTTTTCCTTACATTCAGTATTATGTCTTAAATATAATAAATTATTAATGAAAAATAGATTTAAAGTGTTGTTCTTTGAGTAATAGATGAAATTCTATAGTTTTTTAAAATTTAATTTTAATTTAAGAACAATTTTGTAAATATTATTTAAGAACAACATTGTAAATATTATTGCTTTGGAGAAAATTAAGAAGAGATGGACTACAGTTCCTAGTGGCTCTGAATGATAATTGACACTTATGACCTGAAATAAGTATAAAAAATATAGGAAGGGCTGGGAAAGTGGCTCAGTGGTAGAGTGCTTGCCTTGCTTGCATGAGGCCCTGGGTTTGATTCCTCAGCACCACATAAGCAAAAAAGAAAAAAGCCAGAAGTGGAGTTGTAGCTAAAGTGGCAGAGCGCTAGCCTTTAGCTGAAGAGCTGAGGGACAGTGCCCAGGCCTAGAGTTCAGGCCCCACAACCAGACCCCCCCCCCAAAAAAAAAATATATATATATATGAAGCAACAGTCTGACAAACTATTGTCTTTAATGAAAATAATGGTCTATTTTATTCTGAAGTTTGTGATTATAAGGTAACTGATCACTGCTAATCTTTTATACATTTATATCCCTTAATGCATATTTGGCATACTCAGTGGCAGAGAAAGGTGGAATATTAAGGGCTTCAAGGGTCTGGAAGACAAGGAACATTCTAATCCATTAGCAAAGCAAAAATGTAGTTACATGTGCTAACCAAAGACTAAGAGAACACTCTACACAACTTGTATAAGTGAAAATAACTGATGATTCAAGATGAAAATCAGAAAACAAATTATCTTGCTTACTTCTTAGAGGAATTTTGAGGCAAAATTAGTGTAACCCAAATTAATACTCAGAAGTTCTATTTCACACTCAATTGATCAAAGTGGCTGAGGTTTCTGTATCTCAATAATAATGACACTGAAAGTCTTGCGTGAACTTCTTCCAAAGAAAGAAGGTTAGGAGGAGGTTCTCACCTGTTGCAGAATTGCTCCCAGGGAGTTCTTGTCTTTTTGATTCACACCATCTTTCTGGAGTCGAGCAAGCAGCTCAGGTTTCTTGTAGGCCTTCAGTGCCAATAAGTGAATCACCCTGTCCCTATATGGCCGCTGAGAAACACTGCTGCTGCTGTGTGTCTTTCGAATTGTATTTGCAGGGTTCATAGGGGTTGACCTTTTCCTCTCAGGCACTGCGTCTGAGACAGCTTGAGGTGCTTTCCGAATTTGTACTCTTTTCCCTAAAGTCCAGTGGAAAAGATACCATTAGCTTTTTGGGATGACAAGGTTATAAGTTTTGATAACTCTCAGGTTTCTTTAGGTATAAAGAAAGGCCATTGTATTTCAAGTTTTACTTTAAAGAGACATATTAAATGTCCTAAAATATTAACTAGGAATTTTGATGGTGTTATTCCTTGGAATAAATATGTATTATAGGTGTACTTTGTCCACCTGGCTACACATGGATGATCATTTGTGATGCAAAGTGCAACAATTGACTACAGATTTTTACTTTATAGGTTATTTGACACTAAATAAAAATAATTTCCATGTCCATCTGTGCTACTAACAAAGCTTAAATCTATGTATTACATGTAATTTCTGAAAAGTGATGTAAAAGTATAACAATTCACTACAGATTTTTACTTTATAGGTTATTTGACACTAAATAAAAATAATTTCCATGTTCATCTGTGCTATTAACAAAACTTAAGCCTATGTATTATATGTCATTTCTGAAAAGTGAATATAGTGAATGTATAACAAAACTTAAACCTATTTATGACATTTTGAAAAAAAATGGATGAATGTAATTGGTGTGGTAAAATATGAAAAATGCTTGTCAGAACTTGCTAGGAGCATACACACTCAGCTCACCAGGGTAGTACATTGCTAATATCATGGATTAAGAAACCACAAGGAGTGAAGTCAACATCCACTAGGCAACCACGAGTGATACTCCTTTTGGCAGACTATAATACATTTTGAGTCAAAACCCAAAACCAACCAATAAATAAAAGCAACCATCCAACCAACAAAATCATCTCAGAGCACCAGGCAAACAGATCTCTCCTCTGCAGAGCTAAGAGTAGACAGATGAGTTAGGAGAAAGGAAAAATGTTACAAAGGAGGCCTTCATAGCACTCTGCATAGCTGGTGCCACTCATGTTAGATAACTCATTTTCTTCTTGGATGGAGCATTGACACTTGGCAAGTGGCTACTTTTAGAAAATATGGGCTGAAGTAACCTAGATACTATGTGTATGTGCAAACCTATCATATAGGACTGGTCACCAATGACAGCCAGTAACTATTTCTTGTTGAAGGAACAGAAACTAGCACGAGATGGACAAGACCGTCCTTTGACAATATCTGAAGTAGAATCTTCTAGCTCATTTATCACATACTAAACCCGATAAACCCAACTCCATGCTATTTGGCAGACAAGCAGACAGAACTAGCAGTGATATACAGTGTGGGGTAACAGCATTAAGAACAAGACTAGCATGTAGAAACAATGGATAAGTAGAAGCAATTTCCATGAGCTGTGGTCTGGGGTGAGTCAGCTTGCTGGGAAGGAACTTTACTGAATAGTAATTCTGTCTGCACTGGGTTCCCCAGGCCTGGCCGGAGCATATTTGTTTGGATAACATTCTGCCTTAAGTAAGGGAAAAGGATGAATGTCTTCTGGAAACTTCTACCAGCTAGTATGTTTCTTTACCATTTGAACGTAACTGATGGTAAATACCAGATCAAACCACTGAAGAACAAAGGAATGCATCACTAAGGGAATACTGACCAATAAAAAGAAAAACTATTAAAATTTTTAAAAATAGTTTTGGATACAAATTTAGAACTATTTTCTGTATTTTTCATAATTTACCAGCAGCTAGATCAGTGTTTGATGGAAAGAGACTATGCCGAAAGCCTCACACATTATCTCAGTCTCCCAGTGATCTGAAGGGGTGAGTAGTGACCCCCATTTCACAGATGAGAAATCTGAGATATTCTGATAGTAATGCGCTCACTCAGCATCCAGTGATTTTTGTAATTACCCCCCCTAAATAGTCTCCCCTGTACTTTTTGGGAAGAGTTTTATGAAAAACCAGATATACTGTTGCTTTGTGTTAGGCTGTAAGCACGGTGAGGACAGGCTGTGGCTGCTTTCTCCACCAGCAGAATGAGTTAGCACTCAATGATTAAGTGAACGATAGCAAGTCATCAGGAAGCAACATTGTCTGTGTTCTTCTACATTACCAGGTATCTGCAAATACACTGAAATCTCTAATGTAAAAATGTAAATGCAAACCTGGTCTACCATTTCTCCTTCATGAAACTGTTACTTTTTTTTTTGTGACACTGTTACTTTTATTTTTTGCAATAATAGGGTTTGAACTCAAGGTCATGTGTAACATGTGTAACATACTGGGTGCTCTACCACTTCAGCCACATCCCATTCTGCTGTAACTCATTTTCAGATACAGCCTGTGCTTTTATCCAGGGCTAACCTTTGTCCACAATCCTGCTACCTATACTTTTTGCATAGCTGGGATTGCAGGCCTGTACCACCACATACACTTGTTCTTTGAGATAGAGTCTAGCTTTGTGTGTGTGTGTGTGTGCCAGGAATGGACTCTAACCACAATCCTTTTTTTTTATCTCTGTCTCTTGCATACTTGGAATTACAAGTATAAAACACTGCACATAGTCCTATTCTTTGGAAATTAATAGGAATTTGTGAAAAAGGCACTGTCACAAAAATTTAACAGGAATTTGTGGAAAAAAATAGGATCACTCTCACAAAAATTCCACATTACCTCCCCCTTTGCCAAGTCTTACAAAAAAGAAATCTGTTGAACATATCCTTTTCCAAACAACACTTATTGACTGATCATTTAAAATGAATTAAAGCCAGGCAAATAAAAATAAAAGAGAGTCCAGTTCTGCCAGTTTGTTTCAGACTGCCCTGCCTCATCTGTGCTCTGCTCTTCCTCTGATTCTCAGTCTCCAAAGGGCTCCAAGGACCGCTGGGTTTGCCTTCATTCTCCAGGAAGTGAGCACAAGGGAAACAAATAAAGGAACCTAACTTTCCCTTTAAGAGTGGAACAAGTATACTGTTTTGTAAGAAACTGGAGACTAATAAATGAGAGGACAACTTTATGGTTGTACCTTGGGTCTAGTAGCAGACACTTATCTCCTATGAATTCCCAACTCACAATCCACTCACTTCACTCTATCTCATGTTTCTTTTATACAGCCAGCCAGTCCAGGGTAGCCCCCATGAAAAATTAATTCAGCCACAATGGACCTCTGAACTATATTCAAAGATCACCTGCTTGATGTTTCCTCACCTCTTTTGGGAAAACATTAGTGACATAAATATTTAGAATTGATATGCTCAAGAAAAAAAAGTACAGTAGGAAAATGTCAGATTTAGTGTGGATCAAATGGTTATGTTTTTATTTTTAATATTTGCCTCAGAAAAGCCTTTTTAATAAAGCCTATGGGAAAACCTAATTCTCTTCCCAGACCCATCTGCTAATCAATTCCCTGGGCTCCTTTATAAACAGTAGCACTGATACCAACAGGGTTGGGTAATCTGGGACTGGAACTGAGTCGCTGTTTCATAACAAGAAGTCCACTTCTAGCTCCTGAAGTTAATATGAAATGGTAAAGTATTATTACTTCAGTCTAGTGACTATGAATAAACAATTCGAAAATGAATATGTGGAAGCATTCTATTAGAAAGAGTAGGAACTACAGCTATCTCCTCCCCTCCCCGCCCCCCATGGCACCAGAAGTCCTAGTAACACAGACTCAATGCTTTAAAACCATCACAAGGGCATGATGTCCACTACAAAATCCAACTCTACCATTTTGCGTTTGTGATCACTGTTTAAAATGTTTACTATGTGCATTCATAAACACACACACACATACACACAGAGTCAATCAGTCAGTCGGAACTACAAAGAACCTTAGAGGTTATCTAGTTCAAATACCTTTCTTTTTTTTGGGCACTGGTTCTGGGGCTTGAACTCAGGGCCTGGGTGCTGTCTCTGAGCCTTTTACCTCAAGACTTGAGGTATACAGCTTCAATTTCAGCTTCCTAGTTAATTGGACATTAGAGTCTCAGAGACTTTCTTGCCTGGGCTGGCTTTGAATGGTGATCCTCAGATTTCAGCCTGCTGAGTAGCTAGGATTACAGATGTGAACTACTATCACCCAGCTTTTCTTTAATATTTGAGAAAATAAAATAGTTACTTGTCACTCAAATATGTGACAACTCATCCAAAAAAAGAGTAGAGAAATTGTTGAAAATGGGAGCAGAACCCTCAATATTGCATTAGCTGGTTATTTTATGTACTTAAGTAAATGTTAATATAAAGAAAGATGTGTACTAAATTTGTATTATAATTCTACATTTTAGCTAGGCATCAATAAGAATGATTAAGATACTGGTAATTCAGATGTTGTAGTGAATTGTGATTATTTTCTTAAAAGGGAAGGGGTTAGAATAATATAGCAATGTCTACCCCTGATCTAAATGTAGAAATGTTACTGAAAAAACGAATAAACATTTCCAAGGTAAAAAATTTCCAACTCATCTGTTGGCAAATATGTTTTTCTTTCCTTAGCTCAGAAGAGGGTTACAGATTATATTTTGAGTAGGCCAGGTGACCCCTAGATCCTAAAGAATGTATATACTTTATCCCTTAAATTGGACGTGTACCATCGTTCCTTTGGCAGAGGCCTTGCTTGACATCATACCACCATTACACCATAGAGAGACCAGTATTACTCTTGCTTGTCTCCACCCAGGCTGACACTGCTGAAAGAAACCTTGTTCTGCAGGTACTTAGGCTAGCATAGGGGAGCTTTTGGTATGATTTAATATGGCATAGTCAAATTGAGCTGAAGTGGGTAACTCTTGCTGATTAAGGAGAGAATACAATCTGTTTATGAGGACATGCCCATATCATGTGTGATTTTCTGATCCTGACAACTTGATATGCAAAATAAAGAGGTAATCACTACCTGCTTCAGAGTGATCATCATTGTGAGATTCAGATCAGGAGACTATCAGGGTGGTAGTAAGGGACTAAATAAAAGAAAAAGATTAAAATGGGACAATAGTTTAAGACAGTTAGAAAATCAAATAGAGAATCCAGTGAGATACATGTGTCTGAAGAAATAATAATATTTTTGTTAAGAGTAGGTTTCCAGTAGTAGTCCAGAGACAAACAATACAAATAATGAATACGTCGGGACACTGCCCATATTAAGGAAAGCTAAAAGGAACTGGGATGATGTGACCTAGAGGTTAAAAAGCTGATGAGGTCAGAGAAGAAAAGTTGAAGAGGACCAGAGAAGAGCACTGTGCTTTGACAGGAGAAAGCTGGAGGGAAAGGCTAAATAGGACACTTGGGCTGGCTTCAGGGATCACTTCAGGGTTCTGATTCGGTTGTTATAACCTTGGATTTTTTTCCTGTAGTCCCCTCCAAAAGACATGTATGTTTTTAGAGTCCCTATAAAGTCTTACTGTTTATAAAATTCCCAGTACCATTAGGAAGTACACATTCTATGAGATTTGGGATGCTGGAAAGTTTGTTGTATAAACTCTAAATGAACTGTATCTGACCCTCATCAAAACAAACAGAAACACATCAACACAGGGGACACCCAAGGACCAGTCAGTGGAAAAGCACAGTAACAGTAATCATTGCTGAGTTTCAAGCACTGGAATATATCAAGGTGAGAGTTTTCACCTTGTTCCACTGGAAGGAAAATAAAATCATTCTGATGATGATTCGAGACTTTTATTCTTTTGTTGTATACATCACTTACCTCACTGTTCATAATAAAGCAGTGGATTAAAATAACACTTTCAAATAGGGGCAGATAAAACATAGTTTCTATTTAAAAACATAATGTAGATTTTAGCAATAATTTGAGATGTAGCCTACTAGCACAGACAGCTAATTACATTATCTATGAAAAGAAAGGAGAAAGAAAGGAGCCTGGAAGTTGTTACCTCACTCAATAGGAAAAGGTAGGTTAAAAAAAATCTCATTGCTTGCAACTTACTAGGCAAGGAACTATGACCCTGTGGGTATAGCTACCTGGGGAAGCCAAGAATTGTTGTTAAACCAAACTAAATGTATCTAAGCTAAGCACCATGTCCCAAGAGCACTGGCTTTGTTCTAAAGAAACACTTATTAAGACAAGTAGTGTTTCTTAAAGCTGAATGTACTATAGTGGAGTCAGCAATGGGGGAAAAGGAAAACAGAAGTAGTAACTGTATCAAACATGGAAAGATGTTGGTTAATTAAGTAAGAGATCTGGTTCTATAAGAGACCATTTTCATAAGCATTTACATTTCTAAATTAACAATTTTTAATCATTTACCAGGATGACCTGAAATATTAATCTACTAAAGACTCAAAGTCCTTGTCCTTACTCTTGATCATTTTAGTATTGTTAATAGTCACTATGCATTGATTCATTAAGATTATTCAGGACACTGATCATAAAGGAGAGACTCCTCTTGTTGGTCTGGTCTTACTTCCCTTCGATCTGATGCATGTATGAGTGAGTGATGATAAAGACAATGGGTGAGGCAGAGACTTAATTAGTGGATAGAAGAAGACAAGGATCATAATTGTGGCACAAAAAATGAGCTGAATGTTTTAATATAGTCTGATGTAAGTCCATTTCATACTTTATTTTGGTGCCTGTCTTGGGCTTGAACTCAGTCCTGGGCACTATCTCTTGAGCTTTTTTACTCAAGGCTAGTGCTCTACCACTTGAGCCACAGCTTCACTTTAGCTTTTGGTAGTTAATCAGAGATAAAAAGTTCCCTGCCTGGGCTGGTGTTGAATCACAATCTCAGACCTCATTTTATACTTTTGCAGTAGAATTTCTTATTATTCAAAGCTTTTCTGAAAATATAAGCAAAGTCTGCAACAGTAATATTATCAACTCAAAAAATTGACCAATAGATTTTACTATAAAAATAGCTTTATAAAAGTGCAAAACAAGAACCACACTGTCCAGTGAAATTATATCACCCAGTGACAAAGAAAACACAACGGTACCACTGTTTATAGCCTCATGTAGTAACACCACCAAATTCTAGTATTGTAAAATAAGTAACAAGTAACAGAGTATTCAAGATTAGTAAAGTCATAAAACTTTAAAAGGTGTTAAAATGTGTCTTACAATTTACTAAAAGTCTGAAGAGAACAAATAATCTTTTTAAAAATTGATATTATGTATGCAAAATGGTCTGAAAAGTTAGTTCTGTGCTTTCTTTCAGTTAACAATACCAGTATTTACCTACAGCGATCTTGAATTACTCCAATCAATCAGCGAGAGGAGAAAGATATCTATACAAACCTACATATGGTCCACCGGGTTTGATAACTTTTGTGCTTCGATTGCGGGATTCTTCCTCTGCCTGGGTCATTCTTTCTCGTGTCATCTGATACGAGTCGTTCGTTGCACACACTGTAATTTTATCTTGTATAAATCCCAGACAATTGAGCTGAGAGGCTCCAGAGCTGTCAAGTAAGATAGTGGCTTTGTTAGACATGACTGTCGTTTTATACAACATAGGTACAAGAACGGTATTATCCTAAAATCAGTAGCCTTGAATAAGTTTGCAGTCAATTAGTAATTTTTAAATGCAAAGACTAATTAAAATATTTCTGTTCCTCCTTTCTATTTTTTCTATATTCTCAATAAAATGGGCAAAATAAACTTTCAGAGACCAAATACAGGAATTACAAATAAGCAAGCAAACAGTATTTGAAGCTGGGTGCCAGTGATCACACCTGTTATCTTAGCTACTTAGGAGGTTAAGATCGGAGGACTGTAATTCAAAGCCAGCCTCTGGAAGAAAAGTCCATGGCACTCCATCTCTAAACAGCAAAATGCCTGACTGAAGATGCCAGACCTGTTGTGAGCAGGCAAGCCTTGAGTGCAGACCACAGTACCACAGTATGGGCACACACACACAAATCAATCAATCAATAATCTATCATCATCTGGAGTGAAGACCAGAGTTCCAATGGATCAATATTGTAGTTTTGCTTTCACTTAACAGCCAATCATTTTTAATTTACCTACCACTGAAAGGAGAGATATTTAAACGTTTACTTTTAGTAGAATGACAGATACATGCATAATAACAGTGGAACATTCACTCTAATTCTTGATATTTTTGATAAAGTGTGAGTTTTAAGGCTAAAATCTTGACAGACATGAGAGGGCATATTCTTGTATTAGTAATCCAAAGTTCGCCCAAATTTGTATTAACTACTTCCTGGAATTTCTATATAGCAAATATTGAAGAAAATAAAGGGCAAATTATATTGTTAAAAGTCCTATTAAAACATCACTAATATTAATATTGACTCAGAATATGGTTTTGTTTGAAAAGAACATATCACATCTAGTATTCTGAAAGACAATAGCATAGCTTTTAAACAAAGTAGAATGTAAAAGTAATGAAAATAATACCATACCTTTAGTCTTATTTCTTATTATTTCCAAATGGAATTACAAGAAACTTTGTTACCATACTGAGAAGGGTTTATTCTTTAAAAATGTAACTTGATAATACTGTTCTTTGGAAATGCTCCTTTTTGAAAAAAATCAGCTCATTGAACATTTTAATAGATATTTATTGGCCAGGGACTGCACTGCACACCAGGTAATCTAAGAGACATCAAGTTTGTAACAAGGACTGGACAGATGTGGTCCTTTCTTCAAGGAGCTTTTTCTCTAATGGTAGGAAGCAAAGATGAGTAAACTGGCAATTACAACAATATGACAAATGTCAAGAAGCAGGGATCCCCAGGAAAGGTGCCTCACTTGGACTTCCTAGAAGAAGTGATTCCTGACCTGATTAAAAAGATGGGTAGAGAAAGATAAGGAGGAATAGAAGAGTTCTAAGATGTAATCATAAGCTGTGCAGGTTTGGAATAAGAAAGATTTTCAGTTTAGCCAAAGAAATTCAGGAAGGACAATTAGAGCTGAGGAAGGGTTTGAACAATGAAGACTGAAAATAAGAGAAAACAATTTGAACTGTTGGCAAATTAGTCTGGATGGAGAGTAGATGGGGAAGGGATTTCAAGAGTGAAAGCTGAAAGACCAGTTAGGGAGCTACTGAAGAAATACAAGTAGGAAGGGATGAAGAGAAGTAAGAATGTAGAAAAGTTAGTAGGTATATTCCAGAGATGGTGAGAAGGTGGGACTGGACAGGCATCTTAGGTGATGGTGTCATAATTAGATATTGGTGTGCCCAAGTGGTATATAAATTCTGGGCTGGGTGTTAGGAGAGAGCCCTTTTTCTTTTAACCAGCCACTAACAATCCAACTGTGTAACAGTGGGTAAGTCATGTGTTAAATGAAGGGTTGACCTATGCAATCATAAAGCACTCTTATACTTGGTGATTCTCAATCTATCACAGTGCTGTTGAAAAGAATTTCCTGCCATGACGGTAATGTGCTGTATTTGTGTTGTTTACTAAGTACTACTCATAGCTTTTGAGACTGTAAAATGAGGTTAGTAGAAATGCACAATGGAATTGTAAATTTTTCTTGATTTTATCAACTGAAATATGAATAACTGCATGTAGTTTGCAGCCATTAAAGTGAATAGCATGGGAACCCTATATAATCTATAATAGCCTTTGACATGATAACATGCAATCAGGCTAAAAACACAAGTTGGAGGCAGGTAATTTTCAGTAAGTAAAATCAGTATATACTTAGGGAGAATAGTAGATTAAGGTAAAGAAGAAAGTTGTTTAGTCACCTTAAGTGGGAAAAGAAATCTAGGACTCTTTCAGCTATGTGTCTTATTTTGTATCCCTGCCTTCTGTTCTTGCCTAAACCTCAGCCTTGCTTTCTTTCTCCTATAAAATGCAAGTCCTTACATAGTTTTAATGAAGATGAACTGGCATGGGTATTCTGGGCCAATGCCAAAGTTTTATACCCCAAGGACTGAGTATCTCTATGCAAGAGCAGAACAAACTTCCCTTAGCTCAAGGGTCCATTTAAAAAATCAGAGGCAACCAAATTAAATCAGGTGAAACAAATAGCTATTGTTTTTGGAGGATCAAAGTAATATAAATTTATATTCTTGTATTCCTCCTCTGCCTTCTCTTCTTCCTCTTTCTTCTTTTTATTTTATTTTTTAAATCAGGAGATGGGTATGCAATATTAAGGTTAATATAGAAGCTTCCAGGCTGTTGTGCAATGAAGCTTTTAAAAAATCTTAAAATGGAGATATATATGAATATATGCATATATATATTCTTCCTTTTCTTTTGTGTTTAAGCCTTGAGTGGAGTATAAGACACTTATTTAAATTCAATGAACAAAAACTTTAAAAACAAGCCCTCAAATATTAATTTAAATTTTACTGGTTATATATTTTCTCTACCTGAAAAAACCCTTGTTCAGTGCAAGAACCTTAGATTTTTTCAGCTGTATGTGCCCCAGTGACAAACACAATTTCTAGTATATATTAGGTGCTTAGTATTTTAATAATAAAACCCATGTAGCTCAATTCAACAAATATTTATGGAATGGCTAGTAAGTACTTCATTAATTTTTAGAAAGTCTCAAATAAAATCTGACCTTTAGCATACCTGGAGCAGCACTTACCTGGAGAATGTTTGCTGGATGCAGTCAAAACTGCCCTGAGGGTTATCTTTGCCCACATTTGACAAATAGAAGTTAAAGTTATGTACTTCATTGAGGGGATCATTTTTGGGAATTTTGACAAGCTAGAAGTGGGGAAAAGAGAAACACCTCAAATTACAGATTTGCCACAGAAGATCTTCTAATCTTCTGACTTGCTGGTTTTTCAAGTCAACCATTTTATAGCCCTCTTGATACATGTCTTTAGAACACAGCATTTAAATGGTCAAATAATTCATGTACTCTATCAAGAATGCCTACAACGCATCACATTTTTATTTCCATTTTCTTCCCTTGTCAGTAATTTCAAACTAGGAAATGTCTATAGTTCACATGGATCAGTAATAAATGAATTTGCTTTAAAAAAAGTTCTTGCTCACTTAAGACACATAAGTAACTTTTATCTTTGGCTGATACGATCTTCTGCCTAATAGCTTCTAGGTACTAAAATAGTCTCTGAAATACAATTCATTTTCCACTCTTTTGCATTCTTAATAAAAACCCATTTTAATTCTTGCTTCTTACAGTACAACTTCTAAAGAATAATTAGCAGAACAAGGATAACTCCATAATTATATTCATGAGCAAAATGCAGTTGGGGTGTTTCTTTTAGTCCCATGATTCCCTGATTCATCCTCATGTTTATACAACAGGGTCAGAAGCCTACAGAGAAGATTCTGCAGGCCACTCCCAGGCTGAACCCCAGGCAACACTGTGGAACCTGCAGATGTATTTGCCGCTGTGTTGCTCAAGTTTTGGTTTCCCTAACTAGTGGGAAATCCCATGAACAAAGGAACAGGATTTTTCTAGGTGACTGAGGCCTTGCATCAAGTACATTTCCTGGAGTATGGCTGGAAGGCAGTAAACTTGTGTGAACAATTGAGAATCTTCTTACTGTCCTTCAACTGCTCCTGTTTACTTGGCACCTGCCTTTTTTTTTTTTTCCATGGTATCAGGTGATGTTAAATGAATAGGATTCTCGGCAATTACATAAAATGTGAATTTTTACCCTCCAGCCTCAAACAGAATTTTAATAACTTAGTAGACAAGTAGGGAAGGGAAAGTGTTTTACAATACTCATTCTTCAAAAAAAAAATCTCTCCTTGCTATCATTGGAACATCAAGGACCAGAGATAACTAGTTGATGTGTATTAGCATACTTGTGAATGGGCAAGTGAGCTAATAAGTCTTTGTAGAAGTTACCCTGTGAGTTAACCAAGCTAAAAATGCTCATTGACCTACACTTAAAATTTAGAACCCCCATTTTCAACCCAGAAAATAAAAAAAATGAAGGTAAGAAGGGAGACAACTGTAATATTGGGAGTACAATAAGGAGTGAGTGAATATGAACAAGAAGAGAGTAAGGGAAATATCTTCTCAAAAAAGATTAGAAACACTTGCTTGGATGGAACAGAGAGCTCAAATTTCACTGAAGATTCTGAGTATTAGATAATAATCCACACTGTTTTCATTATCCGTGAATTTAGGCAACTTTTTTTTTGCTCCTTATTTTAAATTAGTCTCAATTCTTCAAGAAACAAGCCTCTACATTTATTGTCAACTCTAGAAATAATACCTCGTGGAGGCTCTGCTGTTACTCTCTAACCTCCAAATTTCCCCCAGTTCTAAAATGTTAAAACATTTTGTGAACAAGTCTTAATTTATTCTGTCTGTAGGTACTTATCAGGCTGTCTAACTGGGTGAGCAAACTCCATGCCTAGTTGCCACACATCCTGGCAACATCTTCAGCAGTTGGGAGAGCAGGAGTAAAAGGAATGCCTGTGTGGAACATAGAGAATCTAAATAAAATCCATTTGCATGCTGTTCTATAAGCACACTGAGGTCAGCTTCTGCCTGCTGAAAAGAGTAGAGGCCTGTTGACAAAAAGGATATTCACCATGGCCTAAAGCCTTTCTAAGGCTGGGGAGACAAGGGAGACAGGTAGGAAAAAGGTATGGACTCTTGAATGAAATCCCCTCCTGGTCACAATTCCTTTAACTAGCATCTTTCTTTCCTACTGGCCCTCCATCTTGATCTCAGTACCTGCTTGAGGAGATTGTGTCAGGCTTTTGCTTTAGTAGTTAGGTCTAAGGTTTTCCTTTTGTGCATCTGGGTTTGGACAATACATTGGAATTTAACCTTTATGGAAGACTTGCATGTGCCAGATGTAACATGCATTTAAAAAAAGCAGACTCTATTTTTTTCCCCATTTTTAAAGAGTGACTGGAATCTGTACTGAAATTCTAAAAATATGTGTGTGTAGTCTAATTTTTAGTTTTTAGTTCAAATGTGTAATGAATAGGAATAGGAAAGGATCAGATAAAAAGAAATGGTTTTGTTTATTCTAAAAGCTAATATAGCATACTCTCTCCCATTTCCCCCCTCCCGTCCCTACCCTCAGGTTACATAGTCCATTTTTACGTAATGTACATCGAATATAATGACTAAATTTTCTTATTCTTTCTCTCTCCATTGGAGAGGGGCCATTTTAACTTATTTGAGACACTTATTCCTGTTTCATACCTGACAAGCAGAGTAATTTGAAAAGCAAAAAAGATAAGTGCACACGAACCACCACAGAATGACTAAAGATTCTTTATCTGTGAATCCTGTGTGTGCATTTGCTTTTCAGTTTCCTCTGAGATAGTTGCTCAGTCCTTAAAAAGCGATTCTGGGCAATGAAGTAGTACATTTTCATTACTCTCCTCCCTTGAATCCCATAAATGTGAAGGTTACTTCTTAAAACAAAGTTTTGTGACTATTTGGAAGACAAGACTATCTAGACAAGCTGTGGGACAGTGGCTACACAGCATAAAAGTGATGCAGATTCTAGGTTCTTCTGAAGCTGGATCTCAGTCTTGAAAAGGCCCACCCACATGTGGCCTTCCATAGTCTCACAGGTTCTTGTCTACGCTGAAATCCCCGTAGTTTGGCTGTGATGTCCTTCTGTCCCTTACCTACTCTAATTGTCATGTACAACCTATTCTTTTCAGTAAATCTCTTGCTTGCCCACCTGTGGGCCAAAGTGTTATATATACTTACCAGCTAAAAACATAAGTGCTATTTTCATTTCATTCTTGAGGGTATACTTAGATATTAATGCAGGTAATACTTGACTCTAATCTGTACTTTGAGAATGAAATATCACTTAGAAAGTGTTAAGGACTGTGTGATTCCAAATCAAGATAAAGGGTTTAAAAGTATATCACCATGTCTGGGCAACTGGAAAAGCAGATTTTAATTTTCATTTCAAAATGAGAGACTAAAAATCAAAGGCTTAGGACCACAATCCACATACAACCTTCCTCCCAAACTCCAGTCTGTCTTTGATAAGAAGCCACAAAGACAAAGTTTCAGGAAACTTTCAGACATTTGTAATCAACATAAACACTGTATACCAAGATGTATAAGTCAAAGCTTCTAATTATTCTGAGATACAAGCTCAGGCATGTAGCAATGGAATATTGTCTGAAAGGTCATTTCAACATCTAGTCACAGACCTGCTATTTACAGGGGATCTAGGGTAGAAGTCCAATGTGCATATGGCTGCAACTTTCACATATATCTATAAAAATATCAGCTTAACAGTAGCTGGTGCCTTTAATGCAGAGATTTCCTACCTCTAAGTCAAATACTTCCTTTCAACACTGGATTGAAGTATATGTTAGGTTTAAAATGACACCAATATGTTCAAAAATTACTCAAATACTTTTGTCTTTTGGTCGATAAGACAAATGATTAAGATGACAGAACTCTTCGTCTGGAAATGATTCTATAGAGTATTAATATCCAATCTTTCCTACTAAGGTGACCATAAATGTTCAGTGAGGTACTCATGACCCAGTAGAACCACAGTTTGATATGACAATTCTTTTTTAAAAATTTATAAAGTACAAAAATTTATTTTTTTTATACTTATGGAGGCTAGGAAGCTCACAATCAAGGTTCAGTGTCTGTTGATAGCCCAGTTTCTCTTCCCAAGTTGGTGCCTTGAACTTTACATCCTCACATGGCAAAAGGGACAGAGGCACAAAGGGCTGATATGACCATTCTTGAGGTAAAATTGAAACCATAAGAAAACCAGGATCATCTAGTTGAATATGCATCTTAAAATGCTGATTACCTTGTCATACTCACACATGTTTATAGTATTTCTTCCCCACTAGAACATAAACTCTGATAGTACAGGAGCCTTTATGTGTTCCATGAATATACTGCCAGCATCATGAATGACGCATAGCACAAGGCAGTAACTCAATACATATTTGTTGAATGAATAAAAATGAATAGTATCTAACATGGGACTAGAACGGAGCTGTCTACTGTCTTTTCCATCAATATTTCCAAGACAGGATGAAAAAATGTCCTTATTTTAAAAGGGGATTCTATCATTAAATAATTTTGAGAAATGCCATCAAACAAGATGACTCTCTTTGTTTTAGATATTTGCAGCTAAGAAGATGTTTCCCAACTATTGTGATCAAAGAATTCACCTCTTCATCCCACCAGTATCTCAGAAAGCCAGCCTAACGCTTACTACTGAAGAGATCTATTGTTTAACCACACAATGTATAGACTGTATATTAAAGTTAGTTATAAGCTTAACAGAATTCTCTGTTGTCCTACAATTTTGTCCACAGTCTTGAAGATACAGATTTCCTGGCAATCTAGAAAATACTCTAGCTAGAGATATATATTTGCATGTACTATTCAAATTCTACAAATCAGGGGCAGAACAGATAACCTAGAATCAGAATAGAAAATAGAAACTTCAACCTGAAAGCCACAAGTCCTATTTTTTAAACCAGCTCAACATGAAAGGGTTAGAACAAAAATAGTTTCTCCTGTCAGTCCAGATGTGCAAACCAATGCTGGGGGCAGGTGGGGTAAGAAATAAGAAAGAAATAAAACCATATTCTTGAAACAACAGGAAGATGCAATGCATTCCTGATGAAAGTGAAGAGCAGATGAGGAGGTAGAATAATTCTGACATATGATAGAAATAGCTGGAACTTTCTATGACAGATACTTTATTGGGATGTATAAAATGTTCAATTCATGAAACACAAAGAGAAATATTGGTAGT